AGGGGATAAGCACAACGGAGATTCCTTCTTCTCATGAACAAACCCAACTCTCTTCCTCCAGCGTCCAACGACCCCCCCCCCATGGGGTTTTCCAACTTAGCACGTGCCCTCAACACAGTATGTTGTCAGATTAAATATCCCAACACTGGAAGCGTTGTTACCATTTAACACTGTGTCCGTATGTATGACAACTGCGATAGCACCTCCATTTTTTTGCTGTCTGCTCAGAGGACATACATCAAATGGAGGCACCTTTATTCAGGATCCATGACGCATCCTTTTTCAAGAACAAGTACGAAGTTAATGAAGTTCATTTTCTGACTGAAAATGCGATAAGCGACTACCTTATGGGGCTCAAAGCAAAGAAAGTTCTGCTCCTGGTGAGCACTTTTGTCGCAAAGATGTGGATCAACAACGAAATGTGCTTTTTTAGAGAGCAGAAAACACTGACAGCGGCAACGTTCTGGAACCTCCAACATTCCCTGGCAAAGAGTCGTACGTTCTTACCACACTTAACCAGTCGAGGTTGTTTCTAACCTAATTGTAGAACTGGCAGCCCAGCAGTTTTGAGGCCGTGGGTAAATAGAGCGCCTGCTCTCTTTGGAAGGGAAAAGTCTGTATACGTCGGACATTGATCAGCATGCGCGCGCACCTGTTACTGGAAATAGCCTCGTCTTTGATTTTCATGATTGCTGTTCGATTCTGATGATACTGGTCTTTCTCTCCAGATTTGACACAGATGTCAATAAACTATATCCAATCATGGCCGAGTTACGAGTTTTCAAGACGGATAAGGAGTTGGAGGTACAGAGTCTTTATAACTTCTCGATGGTTCTTTTGTAGTCTTCTTTCTGCGAATAATTTGTCAATGCGTTCATTCAAGGTGATGAGGTACGCTAGTAAAATTGCCTCTGAAGCTCATCGTGCAACAATGAAAGCTATCCGTGCTGGCTTATACGAATATCAGATGGAAAGGTACTGTTTTCATTCAATATAAGGGTACTAGGATTCAATAGTTACGTCGGAATCTAGTGGAAGTGAGGCTGCGACTGATAAACTGACCAATAGATAACGATGACGTACTAGCACACCATTTCAGAACTGAAATGAGTTTTTCATTAAAGTAAAATCGTACAGGCTGTTTTACTGGTGTCGTTCTGGCTCCATAATTATCATGCCAAAAACGCCAAAGAGAAAACAGACGAT